AAAGCGTTACGTATTCTTTCTGGCAGAAATAAATCCCTTCATCTGCGCTATAAAATCCAGCCTAGGTTTCCCAGAATAAAAGAGCGGCATGACGGCGTATCATTTCAGGATAATTTTTTGCCAGTCGATTTCGAAGCTCATCCTTTCGATTTTCTGGCTGTTCGGAGACCGCGGGAGGCCTCCGCATCTCCGGCTGTAGAGGGAGGATTTAACCAGTTCCATTCCAGTTCTGTTCCAGATCACGGGGTCGCGGCAGGAGGCTGGAGGCTTACACGTTAATCTCAGGTGATGCTGAGAATTCCTGGCATTCGTGCATATTTGCGCTGATTACGCTTCATGCTAATCGGTTTCCATGCTTCCTGGTGTCATGCGGCACGCTGACAACAATGATCGGTGGCAGGTCTCAGAATGAAATCGAGTGGCGTCAGTCTTTCCAGCTAGTATTGCTTCGTGGAGATTTTACTTGTAGTTGTGTTTAACAAATCATTTCTCTTTCTCTAAAGTATAGATTGGATTACAGTGAAGGGAATTAATCAAAGCTGGAGCAGATGAGATCTGGAGCAGTTGCCAATGGCAACCAATCAGCTTCTCTCTTCAGTTTGTTCAGTTAAATAGTATTAAACTTTCAATAATGAATCCAAATCAAATACATATACACTGCCCAGCAAAGTATGTGTTTACATTTTTGCCCAAACACTTACATCATCTGGTTCCAAACAGCTCCAACTCTGTCAGCAAAAGGTGAAGAATTCCAACGCTTTCTCAGCTGTTTCAGGGCAGATCGGTGACATATTCCACCGCCGAAAACATGGGCGGGATTACAGTAAAATGTGTGACCACGTGACCGGTCACACATTCCAACCCAGTCACAATCTTTGATAGAACACCAGTTCACTTTAAAGCTGCCAACATTCTGTTCATCCAATGTTAAGCCTGACATATTCCTGCCAGACAACACGGCCAAGTGCAGCTGAAGTGAGACCATAGCTTTTTTTTGTTTTTACAAATACAAGGGCAAGTGAAAAGCCTAATGTAAATATTGTTATCAGTGTGTGTCATAATGTTTTATAAACATATTAACTTATGAAATATCTGTACAAGGGGGTGGCTATGTTTGCTCATTACAAGTAAAGGCTCTGCTTTCTTTTATGTAACTTCAAGTCTTCCGCATTGAAAACAATGGGCTCTTTGCCGCTTCTAATGACACGCACTGTGTTCCTGGAAGCCTGGGACCATGTGATCATATGCCTAGGCTTAAGGTCACATGGAGGAGAGCAGGAACGGCAGTTTTGTACCTATAGCAAGAAATAATTATTTTATTTTCTAAAAAAAATTGTGATTTGGTTGTGTTGACGTGTGCCTTCTTGGCTTTATTTTGTTGCTGTATAGCTTATTGACCTTATTTCAGTCATAGGACCACTTTAAGTTATACTGCTTTGTCACTGAGCTGCTCCCAGCTGGCTGGTTGGACAGTGCTGTTTGAGTTACCATTCTGCATGCTCCTCCTGTCAGAGGTTCCCAGTTTTAGAGTGACAGCACCATCCAATGCATTATAGCAGGGCTGGCCAAATGTCGTCCCTCCAGCTTTGGTAAAATTACAAATCCCATCATGCATCTGCCTCTTAAAGTCATGCCTGTGGCTGTCAGAGTCATGCAGGGCCTTATGGGACTTGTAGTTCCGGAACTGCTGGCGGGCCAAAGTTTGGCTACCCCTGCTTTACAGCATGGCATAACATGCTTTACAAATATATATCCAGGCGGGGTGGAACTTC